AGAACTAGAACAGAACTAGAACAGAACTAGAACAGAACTAGAACGAACTAGAACAGAACTAGAACAGAACTAGAACAGTAACTAGAACAGAACTAGAAACAGAACTAGAACAGAACTAGAACAGAACTAGAACAGAAACTAGAAACAGAACTAGAACAGAACTAGAACCAGAACTAGAACAGAACTAGAACAGAACTAGAACAGAACTAGAACAGAACTAGAACAGAAACTAGAACAGAACTAGAACAGAACTAGAACAGAACTAGAACAGAACTAGAACAGAACTAGAACAGAACTAGAACAGAACTAGAACAGAAACTAGAACAGAACTAGAACAGAAACTAGAACAGAACTAGAACAGAACTAGAACAGAACTAGAACAGAACTAGAACAGAACTAGAACAGAACTAGAACAGAACTAGAACAGAACTAGAACAGAACTAGAACAGAACTAGAACAGAACTAGAACAGAACTAGAACAGAACTAGAAACAGAAACTAGAACAGAACTAGAACAGAACTAGAACAGAACTAGAACAGAACTAGAACAGAACTAGAACAGAACTAGAACAGAACTAGAACAGAACTAGAACAGAACTAGAACAGAACTAGAACAGAACTAGAACAGAACTAGAACAGAACTAGAACAGAACTAGAACAGAAACTAGAACAGAACTAGAACAGAACTAGACAGAACTAGAACAGAACTAGAACAGAACTAGAACAGAACTAGAACAGAACTAGAACAGAACTAGAACAGAACTAGAACAGAACTAGAACAGAACTAGAACAGAACTAGAACAGAACTAGAACAGAACTAGAACAGAACTAGAACAGAACTAGAACAGAACTAGAACAGAACTAGAACAGAACTAGAACAGAACTAGAACAGAACTAGAACAGAACTAGAACAGAACTAGAACAGAACTAGACAGAACTAGAACAGAACTAGAACAGAACTAGAACAGAACTAGAACAGAACTAGACAGAACAGAACAGAACTAGAACAGAACTAGAAACAGAACTAGAACAGAACTAGAACAGAACTAGAACAGAACTAGAACAGAACTAGAAACGGAACTAGAACAGAACTAGAACCGAACTAGAACAGAACTAGAACAGAACTAGAACAGAACTAGAACAGAACTAGAACAGAACTAGAACAGATCCTAGAAACAGAACTAGAACAGAACTAGAACGATCTAGACAGAACTAGAACAGAACTAAAACCAGAACTAGAACAGAACTAGAACAGATCTAGAACAGAACTAGAACCAGAACTAGAACAGAACTAGAACAGAACTAGAACAGAACTAGAACAGAACTAGAACAGAAACTAGAACAGAACAGAACAGAACTAGAACAGAAACTAGAACAGAACTAGAACAGAACTAGAACAGAACTAGAAACAGAACTAGAACAGAACTAGAACAGAACTAGAACAGAACTAGAACAGAACTAGAACAGAAACTAGAACAGAACTAGAACAGAACTAGAACAGAACTAGAACAGAACTAGAACAGAACTAGACAGAACTAGAACAGAACTAGAAACAGAAACTAGAACAGAACTAGAACGGAACTAGAACAGAACTAGAACAGAACTAGAACAGTACTAGAACAGTACTAGAACAGAACTAGAACAGAACTAGAACAGAACTAGAACAGAACTAGAACAGAACTAGAACAGAACTAGAACAGAACTAGAACAGAACTAGAACAGAACTAGAACAGAACTAGAACAGAACTAGAACAGAACTAGAACAGAACTGGAACAGAACTAGAACAGAACTAGAAAAGAACTAGAACAGATTTAGATCTTGAACATTGTCTTGCTTAGGAGAAGGCTCCCTCTCAACTTGAATTTATATCTAAATAAAATAAATAATTACTGACAAATCTTAAGCAACAAATGAAATTAAATTTGCCTTTGTTTAAGGCTATTGATACTGCCCCCAAGAACTCCTCCCTCTTGTTCTACATATCTAAAAGACAACAATGTAAACCTGCTTAAATTTCCCACAAAGTTTCGAACTTCATTTACAGAAAATTGTCAATTATTTTCTTACCTAAAAACTTTTTCCCTTAGTTTTCTTGAAACAAAAATTTGTCCTGGCGTTTTTCTTTGCTTATCATTTGGTGTTCAATGTTCACTTTAAGATTGTCACAATGACAAAAACAGCAAATAATGGAAGAAAAAAATAACTTTTTTACTTTGCTCTAATTTCGTGTACAAAAACATACAGAAGATAAACAAAAAGTTTTGTTCAGTTAAAAGTAGAAAGGTATAACTAAAATTGATTATAACACCGCAAAAGAGTCATTCATCATTTGAATGTGCGGTTAGAAGTACTTGGTTTTTAAACAAATAATATTTAATTTATATTGTAAATATATAAGTTAAGAAATAAAAAGAGCCATCATTAACGTTATTTTATTTGCAAACAAATATTGTAATATTGTTTCTTAGAATTATAAGAAAAGGTAAAGAATGTTTCAAATTTCTTTGAAAAAAAAAAAAAAATATTTTTACCCTTTTGTTTTAAGTTGAAGAAGCTGTAGGTGTTTAAGACAAAATATTTTTTGTTTTTTCAGTTAAGGGTCATTTCTTTTTCAAAGAACATTAATGATTTTTGGAAAAAAGAATCAGTTTGAACAAAGATGGTTCAATATAGGACGTATACTTGATATTTGGTATTTAATAATAATCATACGTCATGTGGTTCTCAAATTTCATACAATGTTTAGAAAATTTTGAAAAGTTTGAAGGGCATTATTAAATAAACATATTAAGCAATTTGAAAATGTTTAAACTTTTTAAAAAATCTCAACCGGCAACCTAATATTATTAGTTTTTATATAAATCTAAAACATAAATGGGCGTTGGTTGCCGGTACTAAATATTTGAACATAAGTGTTAAAAAGAACACCACAATTTGGCAAGTATATAAGTAAGAAAACAACCAGTAGGTAGATTTATATACTTACACACATATATATGTGTATGAATGTATTTGTATTGAAGTTGTAATATATTTTATAAATTTTACAACTTCTTTTCTTCCTTTTCTTTAAACAAAAACCTTAAAAAACATAAAATAATATAGGTCTTAAAAGGAATTCATATGAATATATGTTTGTTGCCACAAGTTTACAAATGATAAATCTAACTCTCTTAGGTTTGATCTCACACCCCCCCCCCCCCCCTTTCTCTTTTTTATACCTTTCTTTTTGTGTCCTTATTTTATCTCCAACAAAAAGTATCAAGATACTGGTAACATCTTTAGTAGCAAGAGTTTTACAACAAAGCCAAATTGTAACATATATTGGTTTATGTGTTAAGGTAGGTGGTAGTGTGTGTGGCTTGTTCAGTAAATTCCAAAACAGAAAAAGTATACTGTCAACATATTGCTTGGATAAGGAATGAGAGTAGTTCAAATGAAATACTTCCATATTTTAAACTTATTTAATAATCCAGGTTAAAAAAAGAAAAAAGCTTCTTCTTAAAAAAAACATTTGTTTCCTCCTCCAGCTCTTTATCCGGCACAGGTTTTTATTATTCTTATTGTCCGGGCCACCTTTTGTTTGAGACACTTTTCTTACCAGAACACTGATTTATTCAATTAATAGGGACACACGTTTGGCAATAAAAATCACAACTTGTGGCTCTTCAAGTACAAAAATTCTTTTTTATTTACTTCAATGTTTCGCTTTTGGTGGTTGTTTTGTTAATAATTAAAAAATCAAATGTGTAGTTGACCGCACATATTGACAACAACAAAAAGTAATTCACCACTCTTTAAATTGTGTTGCCAGATGTGCGGTTGACTACGGGCAACGTTTACACTGTGCAATACTAATGGACATAATTATGTCCATTATCATTGCGGTGTAAACATCCCGCGCACCTTGCACTAATAGTGCAAACACAAGAAATGCTTTCAATTTAACGAAATATATAAAAAATAGTGATTAATTATTCATGTTATAAATATATAAGCTAAACTTTTAGGAACTAGATTATAAATGTATGTAAAGTGTTCAACTAAAACTATAAATTCCATTGAGATCATCTTGAGTACAAATTATTCTTCTTAAATGCTTATCATTTAAATTTTGGGTACGGCTTCTCCGAAAAAAGCTGTTCCAAATACAGTCTCCTGTGAGTACATTCTTCCTGGCCTGCCAACTGCTGGACCGATTAAAATTTGCTTTGCTACATCAGCTCCTACTATCATATAGTAATGTAGACTGGTGAACCACCGGCGATTTGCCATATTAACAACCCGAGTATATTGTTGATTGTACACAAGGTCAACCCTTGGACTACATCCATAGACCTTATCTTCGACTACACAATCTACACTTATTTTTCGCCCGTCCATTCGGCTGTTATAAATGGTGACTTTAGTACGGCCACGACGAATGTTGCAATACAGTGCCTCAGCCTCAGTTTGCATAATGGACGATCTTGCTGCGTTCGGATCGATGAGAATGCGGGTCCATTGAGGTGAATCTTCTGGATTGGGCAAAATCCGCACTACCGCCGACATCTGAACCCAAACTTTCCCTTCTGGAATAGGATGTAGTAGTGTGTTATGGTCCTGTAGACACCTCTTACATCGTGTCAGAGTTGGACAATTGGAATTACGGTGTGTTTGGGCCAAACAATTTGAGCAGAGTCCATGATGAGCTACTGTTCTTAGTTTTCGTTCCACTTCCATAACCATGAATCTGGTGCATTGTCTTATGGCATGGAAGCGGTTACATAGCGGGCAAGTATAATTTGGGTTAAAGAAACCGTCACACATTCTGAGGTGCTGCAATGGAGTAGAAATTTGTTGGATTAAGAGGAAGATGATCAAAGATATAGTTAATAGGAAAACGATTATTGTTCTTTGAGGTTCGGGAGAAGGACTAGTTTATGAACAGGACGGGTAATAATTCCATTTTGCGTTTTTAAGTCTACAACCCTGACCTTTCCGTCTGAGCCACAATAAACCTTTACGACTCGACCTAATCGCCATTCAGTGGAGCCTATGGATTCAGTCTTTAGAACCACGAGATCTTGTTCTTTAATATCAACCTGAGGAGACTTCCATTTGCTTCTCTTGTGTAACTGCTTTAAATATTCATCCTTCCAACGACGGCAAAATTCTTGTGACATAGCTTTAATTTTACGCCAACGGTTTACAATACTAATAGCTGGTTGTATTTCTTCGGGTTCTGGGGGCGTAATGATGGCAGAGCCTATAAGAAAATGGGCAGGAGTGAGAGCTACAGGTTCATCAGGGCTATCTGGCAAAGGTCCTAAAGGACGGGAGTTAAGACATGCTTCGATACTTGCTAATATAGTGGAAAATTCTTCGAACGTATATTTGATCTGACCTGATATCTTCTTAAAATGTGTTTTAACGCTTTTTACTCCCGCTTCCCAGAGGCCTCCCATGTGTGGTGTTGAAGCTGGTATAAAGTGCCACGATAGTTGTTGATGAACATATTTTGATACTGCATCATCCCGAAATTCTTTAATGTATTTTTCAAAATTTAAATCTATTTGTTTAGCAGCCCCTACGAAATTTCGACCGTTGTCGGAGAACATTTTGCTTGGACAACCACGACGAGAGACAAATCGTGAAAAGGCAGCCATAAAGGCAGGAGTGGATAGGTCGCTAACCGCCTCAAGATGAACCGCTTTAGTTGAGAAACAAACAAAAAGACATAGATACCCTTTAGTGATTTTGCAATAGCGACCAGTAAAGCTTTTGATTTCAAATGGCCCTGCAAAATCCACACCAGTGTTGACAAATGGTCGGCTTATTGTGGTTCTTTCTTCAGGTAATGGAGCCATTATCTGGCCTTGTAATTTCTTCCGGTGTAAGACGCAGATTTTGCAATTATGGATTACAGTTTTTATTAGGTTCTTGGCCTTCAATATCCAACACTCTTGACGGACCACATTTAGAACTAAACGAGGACCACCATGATGAACTAATTTATGTATAAATTCTACGTACAATCGAGCTAATCTACTGTTGTACGCCAATATAATGGGATGACGCTCATTATAAGACAAACTATTAGTGTAACAAAGACGACCATTAACTCGGACAATATTATTGTTATCTAAAAATGGAGTCAGTGTTAGTAAAGGACTGGAGCTGTCAAGTTTCTTTTGTTTCATTAAACAATTGACCTCTTTTGGGAAATGAATTTGTTGGGATACAAGAAATAAACGGTTTCTTACAAAGGTCAACTCCTGAGCGGATATTTTTAATGTTTCATAATGCAAATGTTTTGTTTTACATTTCCTCGCATTAGTTGCAAATCTAAATATGTATGCTATGACGTGATACGCCTTCGACAAACATGAAAAATTATCCAAAATATCAATTTCCAATGATCTAGCAACATAAACCTGGCTGCTTCTTATCTCTTCTGAAGTTTCTGGGACATGTTGACTTACGGGCCACGATGCTTTCGCTGAGGTCAGCCATGCTGGGCCATGCCACCAAAGACTCATTTCTTTCAGCTCCGAAGCCATTAGCCCCCGGGTTGCTAGATCAGCAGGGTTGTCCTTAGACGTTACGTGCTGCCAGTTTTTGTTTCCAACCTTTTCTAAAATGGTGGCCACTCTGTTGGCGACAAATGTCTTCCAGTTACAAGGTGGTTTTTTTAACCACGCTAGAACTATTGTCGAATCGGACCATAAATAAATATTACAGGGATTGAGATCAAAATGGGGTAAAACACTGTTAACTAATTTTGCCAATAAAACCGCACCACACAATTCCAATCGTGGTAATGAAATTTTTTTTATTGGAGCCACTTTTGTTTTCCCTACTAACAAGTTTGAAAAAATTTTATCATCTACTTGAATTCTTACGTATAATGTTGCAGCATAAGCTAATTCAGATGAATCGCAAAACCCGTGAAATTCAATCTTACAACTTGGGTAGTATTTAATCCACCGTGGAATTCTTAAAGTACCCAAATTGTTATAATTAATGAGAAAGGTCTGCCAATTCCTTAGAGCCACAGGCTTTATGTTTTCATCCCAGTTTATCTTGTCGAGCCACATTTGTTGCAATAAAATCTTTGCTGTTATTACAACAGGGGCCAACCATCCTGCGGGATCGAATATACGTGCTATAATTGATAATACCTCTCTTTTAGTGTATGATTCTTTTACAATTATTTCTTCAGTAACAAAGTAAAATGTGTCTTCAGCAGCGTTCCAACGAACTCCTAATGTTTTGGCTGTGGATTTATCATCGAGACACAAAAAGGAAGAATTCAACAGGTGATCAATAGGGAATCTATTTAAGATTTCTTTCGTATTTGATGTCCACTTTCTTAATTCAAATCCTGCTGTTTCTAAGATATCTATTAACTGGTCTCGGGCTACTAACGCATCTGGAATTGTATGAGTTCCTACCAGTGCGTCGTCTACATACATTGATTCTCGTAGAATTTTAGAGCCAACAGGAAAACGTTTTTCTTCATCTGAAGCTAACTGTAAAAGAGTTCTCAGTGCCAAATATGGCGCACAGTTTACGCCAAAGGTGACTGTTTTTAACTGATAATCTTCAATATCGTCTTTTTCTGAACTACGATAAACAATCCTTTGATATGACCTGTGTTCAGGTTTAAGCAAAATTTGTCTGTACATTTTAGATATATCAGCGTTAAATACAAATTTGAAAAATCGCCACTTTAAAATTAGAGTCACAAGGTCATTTTGTAAAATAGGGCCTATGTGCAACATATCATTTAGACTTTTTCCATTTGGCGAAACACTTGAGGCATTAAAAACTACTCTTAATTTTGTAGTTGTGCTCTCAGGTTTAAATACTCCATGATGAGGTAAATAATAACTTGGACTACATGAAGCATCCTTTACAGCTTCCATATGTCCCAATGTTATATATTCCTTTAGGACCTCATCATATATCTCTTTATATTCTGGCTTACGTATAAGAGATTTTTCATTGCGTAAAAATTGACTTAATGCAATGTGTCTATTAGGACCAAGCGTTATATTGTTATGTTTAAATGGAAGACTAACAATATATCTGCCTTCTGGATTTCTTAATGTAGTACTACGATATATATCTTCGCATATTTTATCTTCTTCTGACAATATTTTCTTGGTAGACACCTCTTCTAGTTCCCAAAATTTGGACAACTGTTCATCAATTGAAACTTTTGTAAGATGAGATAATGTAATTTTTTTTTGATTTTGACTACTCGTGGTTGGACCTGTTACAACCCAGCCGAAAATAGTTTCTTGGGCTACAAGTGACCCAAAAATGCCATGTTTTACTCCATTACATATAATTGAAGGATATAAGTCACCTCCTAATAATATGTCAACTTCACTACTCTTAAAGAAATCTGGGTCTGCATAATTAAGTTTAGGCAATTTAATGTTTTCTATGTGTGTGACTGAATGTGTTGGCACATTTCCTGTAACTCTATGAACTACTAAAGCCTGTACATGAAGTGATGCATTTTTATTTATAAGGGAACTAATTATGAAAGTGGCTGTTTTATTTGATTTGCTAATAATTTCACCTCCTAAACCTGTGACTTCAGCAAAAGTAGGAACAGTGGGCAACCTTAATAATTTTTGAATTTTTTCAGAAACAAAACTTTCGTCCGAACATGGATCTATTAAAGCTCTTACTTTATATGTAGAGCCCAGATTTGTAATATTAAGCCAAGCTGTAGCTAACATAACCTTCTTGCAAGCTGATGTGTGATGAGTCTGGACTACTCCAGATGGACCAGCAGTTTCTGTGGACTGTACTTGTCGTGAAATATTTTCCTGATTATTTGTATTTATTGCAGTACTTGGTTGAACATTTTGTTTATTTTGTGTTACAAATTCCCTGTGCATCAATGTGTGATGTTTCTTTTTACATTTGGAACAATTGTTTGCGTGAGAACAATCTCCATACATGTGTCCTATATTAAGACAATTAAAACAATATCGATATTTCTTTAAAGTCGAAACACGATTTTTGTGATCCATGTTCAAAAATTTGGGACAAAAACTGATAACGTGACTTTCTTTGCATAATTTGCACGTTCCTAAATCAACCTTTGTGTGGTGATTTTTAAAATGTTTAATTTTGTTACCATTTTGATTAGAACTATTTAGTGAAAATTGGGAACTACTGGACCACGCATTATTAGTGGCAATAATATCAGAGACACTTTCTAAAGCATGAAATCTGTCCGTAAGAAACTTATTCAATTCTCTCCATTTAGGAACTTCTGTTTTATTTTTTACAGATTGTTCCCAAATATTTAACGTGTTTTCTGATAATCGTGATGAACATTGGAACACGAAGATAGGATCCCATGAGTCTATGTCAACGTTGTATAATTTAAGAATCGACATACAATTATTAATTTCTCGTTGTAATCTTTTTACTTCTGCTGCTGATTCTGATTGGCATGGAGCTAAATTAAATAATATTTTAAGTTGACTATTTATTAAGACTCGTTTATTTTCATATTGGACTTTTAGGTTGTTCCACGCGATATCGAAATTCTCAGCAGTTAACGCAATATTTCTATTTATATCTCTAGCCTCACCGTCAGTTTTTCGAAATAAATAAAATAACTTTTCCACAGGACTAAGTCTGCTATTGTTTATGTAAATTGCAGTGAACATGTCCCTAAATGTGGGCCACGAAACATAGTCACCATGAAACACGTTTGTATCACATGGAGGAATAGGTACTGTCACGCCCAGATTGGGATCCACTACATTTAAACTTTTACTGTTCTTATTTGCTTTTTCTGTTCTTGCTTTTGAAAGTATATTGATGCAACGGATATACACGTTTCTAACTTGAGGGTGTTTTGTTTGGACAGAAACTAATTCTTTTTTCTTTTCAACAGTATCTGCTGAACAATCTTCATATATTTTTATATATTTATCCCAAGCTTTACTCAGTTCATTTTGTTCAAAATCAAATGCATCAACAGAATAAGATGAAAGATCAGCTTGTAATAATATCTCTTCTAAACCAATAACTTCCTCAGCTGCACGTATGTATTTATCATAAAGCGACATTTTCTTAAACCAATGGAATGAATTAGAACAACAATTTAAAATTTCCAATGAGAAATACAAAATATATAACGGCAAGATTGAACCAACAAAGAATTTAAAAGAACAACAACACTATATTTACTAACGGGATAATAAAATTGGCAACCTTGCATATAATTATTTGGAGATAAATTAACTGTATCGAACCACAAATTGAAACACGTTTTCTTTATAATATATGAAAATAATTTCTATACGCACCTTATTTTCACTTTCAATTTAGTTTTCTCCTTTTATTGTTTTACCACACAGAAATGTGTTTTCCATAGAATTCTCTCTTACCGATTCATTTAATGGCGAAAGGACCAATGTTTCCTCCTCCAGCTCTTTATCCGGCACAGGTTTTTATTATTCTTATTGTCCGGGCCACCTTTTGTTTGAGACACTTTTCTTACCAGAACACTGATTTATTCAATTAATAGGGACACACGTTTGGCAATAAAAATCACAACTTGTGGCTCTTCAAGTACAAAAATTCTTTTTTATTTACTTCAATGTTTCGCTTTTGGTGGTTGTTTTGTTAATAATTAAAAAATCAAATGTGTAGTTGACCGCACATATTGACAACAACAAAAAGTAATTCACCACTCTTTAAATTGTGTTGCCAGATGTGCGGTTGACTACGGGCAACGTTTACACTGTGCAATACTAATGGACATAATTATGTCCATTATCATTGCGGTGTAAACAACATTGATAGCTTTTCCCTTCAAAATCCAATAAAAATCGTTCTCATACAAAAAACTTCAAAAGCTTCGTCTTTTAAAAAGCTTCAAAAGCCTTTTCTTATAAATAGCCTTAAACGCTATTTCGTTTAAAAGGTTTTAAAAGTTTTTTTTTAAAAGCTTCAAAAGCTTTTCTTTTAAAAAGCTTCAAAAGCTTTTTCTTTTAAAAAGCTTGCAAGAAATCTTCGTAATATACTTTAAAAGCTATAAAATCGTTCTCATACAAAGAGCTTTTTTGTTAAAAGCTTTGAAAACTTCAATAGCTTCCTCTTTTAAAAAGCTTTAAAAGATTTTTCTTATCAACGGCTCTAAACGCTTTTCATTTTAAAAGGCTTTAAAAGCTTTAAAAAAACCTTCAAAAGCTTTTTCTTTTAAAAAGCTTGCAAGAAATCTTCATAAAATACTTTAAAAACATTTTCCATTAAAAATCGCAGAAAGCTTTATCTTGTTAGTACCTTCAAAAGCTGTTTACCTTAAAAAGTTTCCAATAATCTTTAAAAAACATTTTCTATTAAAAGAATGCACTGTAAAAAGCTTTCCTGCATTAGCATTATTCACAAAACACGGAAACTTTTTCTACAGCTACAAGATCCTTTATCACAAAAAGTTTTTGAAAAGTCTTCCTTAAAAAAATGTTAAAAGCTTTTCCCTTCCAAATACAATAAAAATCGTTCTCATACAAAAAGCTTCAAAAGCTTCTTCTTTTAAAAAGCTTTAAAAGCTCTTTCTTACAAAAGGCTTTAAAAGCTTTTTAAGAAAAGCTTTTTTTCTTTTAAAAAACTTGCAAGAAATCTTCATAAAAATACCTTAAAAGCATTTTCCAATAAAAAAAAGCAATAAAATCGTTCTCATACAAAAAGCTTTATCTTGTTTATAGCTTCAAAGGCTGTTTATTTTAAGAAGTTTCAAAAGTTTTTTCTTTTAAAAAGCTTTTTTTAGAAAATATTTAAAGTCTTTTCTTTTAAAAATCGTTACCAATAAGCATAAAAAAACTTTTTCTATTAAAAGACTGTACTTTTTCTATTAAAGCTTTTAAAAAGTCTTAAGAATATAAATATGTTGATTTTTTTTTCTGTCTCTTTGTTCTGAAAAAGCCTCTAGAAAGCTTCTTTCTTAAAAAAAAAAAAAAAAAAAAACGTTAAAAGCTTTTCCCGTCCACAACCTATAAAAATCGTTCTCATACAAAAGGCTTTTCTGTTAAAAGCTTTGCCTTTTAAAAAGCTTTAAAAACTTTTTCTTATTAATGGCTTTAAAAGCTTTTTCTTTTAAAAGGCTTTGAAAGCTTTTTTTCTAAAAAGAAAATCTTATTAAAAATGCGTTAAAAGCTTTTTCCTTTAAAAAGACAATAAAATCGTTCCATACAAAAAGCTTTATCTTGTTCATAGCTTCAAAAACTGTTTATGTTAAAAAGTATGAAAAGTTGTTCTCTTAAAAAAATATTTAAAGCCTTTTCTTTTAAAAATCGTTACCAAAAATCATAAAAAAAAATTCTATTAAAATTGCTTAAAATAAAATTTTTATCAAAAATCTTTAATAAGCTTCGAAAAAAAAAAAAAACTTTTTATTAAAAGGCCTTAAATTAGATTTAAAAAAAATATAATTTACTTTTTTTCTAAAAAGCTTTTACCTAAAAATATATTAAAGCTTTTAAACTAAACACCTATTTTTTTAAGTTTTATTTTTAATAAAAAAGCTCTACATACGAAAAATTTTATTATAAAAATAAACTTTTCTTATAAAAAAGTTTTTAACAAAGACAGTAGGGTACTTAACTTCCGTTCTGAGCCTACAATTCAATTCTACCTATTTTCGTATGTCCCCTTTTTTGTCAACATGATTTCAAAAGCCTTCTTTTACATATTTTCCTTATGTTTTCAAATGTAAGAAATACTTTCATCTTTCATTTCAAACATGTTCGTGCCAAAGAATGTTTGTTGTTGGGGTTTTGTTACTTGTCTTGCTTTCAACTTTTCTTTTTTTTATCAGGTTGCCAGTATAAGTATTTGTCTCTCTTGTAGGCAAGTGTTGCTTTTCTAATCCTTTTATATCCTTTTAAGTTTTTTTTCCTACTAAAGCTTGATTCATTTATACATTTTTAAGTTAATTTATTACTTAACACATTCAAAAGCAAGCATATCATTTCTACATTTTTTTATAGAAATATACCTCAAACACCCACCCAAAAAGCCCCCACACACATACACACAGATACTTATTTATATAAGTATAGTTGTGTGTGTAATAAACCAGACACACAGAGAGACATGTGACCGAATAAACGCAAATTTGTTTAATAGTTTGTTTTGTATCATTCTCCGAATGTATGTATGTGAATGCATGAATGGGTGAGTGAGTGGATGAATGACTGTATGACTGGCTGAAGAAGGAATGTATGTAGGTAGAGGAACTCAAAGTTGTTGGTTTTGTGTGTCAGGCGGTGTGTATGTCATTCAGTCAGTTAGTTGGATTTTTGGCCTATATTTTCTATATTTATGCCTTGTAATGCCATTGTATAAGTACTTTACTCAATGTAGTTGGTTTTTAACAGATTTTAATGGTGAATAACTTTGTCTATAGGTTTGGGTATGTTGAAGTGTATATTTTCCCTTCCTGACGCTTCGTTCTCTCTGTGCCTCTCTTAAACTTTTGGTATTACGTGGTGTTAGTGGCAACTATGAGGTTGTGTTGTTAAAACACAATCTTTCGTTCAAGATGAATGACTTTTTAAGTGTTGTAAATGTTACTACAGCAACAACACACAGCAGGTTGCAATTGCTACCTACATATACTTGTACATAGATTAATACATATAACATACACAAGTTAATAAAGGATCTCGTTTTATTTCAGACATGTGTGTGTGTGTTATGGCAAATAGTCTTACTTAATGCTAGCTGCCTCTGTATTCACCTATATTTTTAAGCAATATTATCTTGATTAAATAATAGTTTTAACAAAAAAAAACAGGAAAAACTTTTTCATCTATACACCCTAAGAATACAAGTGTGGGAGCAGGGTTAGCTGAGCTGACATGTGTTAAAGATTGATGGGGAAAGCTAAGGGAAAGACAGGTAGACAGAAAGACAAAAAATGTGAAACAACTAGGTTGAAAGATAAACAGACAAATGGACGGATCAACAGACAAATTGGCAAATAACAGAAAAAATACGGATGTTAAGCGACTGACTGACAAACAGCCTGTAAAAAAAGGTAGATGGGTCAGACAAAATGGCTGAAGTGTAGGTTTAAAAAACAACCTTAGTATAATGTACATATGTATATAGGGATACATAATTCAAGAATATAAGTTGAAGAGTAATACAATATATAGATCGTGTTTCCCATAGCTAAAAGTCTGGTCTATAGTCCAGTCAGATCGGTTCTAATTCATATCTAGTTCAGTTCTAGTTCAGTTCTAGTTCAGTTCTAGTTCAGTTCTAGTTCAGTTCTAGTTCAGTTCTAGTTCAGTTCTAGTTCAGTTCTAGTTCAGTTCTAGTTCAGTTCTAGTTCAGTTCTAGTTCAGTTCTAGTTCAGTTCTAGTTCAGTTCTAGTTCAGTTCTAGTTCAGTTCTAGTTCAGTTCTAGTTCAGTTCTAGTCAGTTCTAGTTCAGTTCTAGTTCAGTTCTAGTTCAGTTCTAGTTCAGTTCTAGTTCAGTTCTAGTTCAGTTCTAGTTCAGTTCTAGTTCAGTTCTAG